AGTGTAGAAGCAGTGTCCCCCTGAATCAAGAAGACAGAGCTGACAATCAGGAAGGCCATGGTTTTAAGAAACAGAAACTTAAAGAGGCCCTTTTCAAGATAAAAGAATTAGCTTTTAATGGAAAACTACTAGTAGACAAAACTGCAGGTTTGTATGAGGTCAGGCATTTGAAGGGGTCCTTAAACAAAACAGGGAGTGGCAGACAGTCAACAAAAGTATGGCTTCACTAAGTTAACTCTCACTGGAAAAGCACTGGCAGCTAAAAAGTTACCCTCCTATGACATGATCATCTACTATTAAAACCAATGTTTAGAGGATCGTTCTCAAGGGTCTAGGCAGGAGCTGGGAAGACTGTATTCCCATAGTCCCTAGCCAGTGAGAAAAAGAGAGAAGGAACCTGTATGTCAGGCTTAAACTGCTCACGCTAACTGCCTTGGCCTACCTATCTCCCAGATACCCAACCGGGCAAGACTCAGTTCAAGCCTCGGTTCACTTTTTCTTCACAACTTTGAGTCCATTCCTTGGGTCTAGAGAAGGGAACACATTTCTCACAAGGTGGACCTGAAGAGGTGGGATGACAGCTTTAGAAAAAGAAAACAAAAAGCTATAGAGGGCTCCCTCTAATCCTCACCAGAGGAAGGAAAGAACTACCTGAGGTAAGGGAAACAATTAGGAGGAAGGAACTGGGAGAACCATTTCCAAAGCTCAAAAAGGTAGGGAATGTTCATATTCCAATGGTGGGTAGGGGCGGGGGAGGCACTCAATACATCAGGCATTAGGGTACACAATACTGGATTAAAATTACCTTTAGAATAAAGGTTGTTTTGGTCTCACCCAAATAAACGCAAAAGCAAACCACAACATTAAAAAGAAACTATATCCAAGTAGCCTGTCTGTGTCACTGAATAAGGAACACTGAAAGAAATCAGAAATACTCAACATCTTAAAAGAAAAAATGTGTAATTCTGGCATTCACTAAAAATTGACAGGCATGCAAAGAAGCAGAAAAATGTGACTTATAATGATAAGAGCAGAACATATAGAAAGATACAATTAGTACACAAAGACATTAAAATTTATAATAAATATTTTTCAAATGTTCATGAAATAGAAACAAAATAAGCATGACAAAAAGTGATATACGAAACACTTCAAAAACCAAAAGTAAAACCCAATAGTGGTCTTTAACTCAACCTCCTTACTCTCTGTGATATTCATAAAGTAATTAACACTACATTCAAACTTTGAATGTTGGGTAATTTGGTCTGCAAGTGTTCTGCAAGACAAGCAAACACATCTGAAAAATTTTAACTTGATAAACAAACAGTGTCTTACAACACGAATATACATCAAACCGAGCACCATATGATCACAACTGGGTCTCTCTTTCTTCTCTCTCTCTCTCTTCTTTGTTATACAAGTGCTTTGCATTACAAGTGGAACAAATTCTCACAAATCAAGGTTTTACTGTAATTTCCTTGAAAGCAAAAATGGTGGCATCATTCTTCTTTAGAATGCAGGAATGGACTGCCTTGGTATCAAAAACAATCATTTTGTTGGCTGAATCCTCAAAGATTTTCACTGCAACAAACTTTACATCTGCCATGGCATCCCAGGGAAGACTGTTACCTTGGGTAAAAAATGGTTGATGGTCCTGAACATCTCACTAAGCACCAACTAGTTTGTGTTTGCTGGGTTTCTTTTTATTTTTAATGGCTATTGTAAAAAATGAATTTTAATAATAAACAATATGAACTTTTGCAAGTGTTATTCATTGGCTTGATATAAACTGACATTGTACAGCCTTAACTTTACATTTTTTACTTTTGCTAAGATATATATGACATAATTTTTGATTTAATCAATTTCAACCATCTAATTCAGTAGCATTAATTATATTCACAATGTTAGGGAACTGTTTCAAAAAAATTTTATCACTCCAAAGAGAAACTCTAACTATGAAGGAATAAATCCCTTGTAACTTTCATTCTGTTTTCTGGCAATATAATGTGCCTATTAAGGACATCTCATTGAAGTAGAGCCATAAATATTGTTTTTTCATGTCTGTGTTTTTTTAAACTATGATATTTTAAAGGTTTATTCATGTTGTACTTTGTATCAGGATGCTAACCAATTTTGTGGCTGAGTATATTCCACTGGATAAATAAATAAAAATACACACACAGACACACACACACACACTTTATTATTCATCTGTTGCAGGACACACTAGCTTTTTCTAGCCTTCGGCCACTAAAAACAATACTGCAGTGAAGGCTGGACTACAAGTTTCTGTTTCAGTTCCAGTTTTCAATTATTTTGGATTTGCACCTGAAAGTTAAAATTTCTGGGCTACATGGTAACTTTACATTCACTTTTTTGAAAGACATACTATTTTCTACAGTAGCTGTACAGTTTTATATTCCTACCAGCAATGTATGAGTGTTAAAACTTCTCTACATATTTCTCAACACTATTTCTCATTAGTTTTTGTTAATAGCCATCACAGCATGTTTAAAGAAGTATTTTCTGATGGTTTTCATTTGGATGTTTCTAGCAACTAGTGTTTTTTTTTTTCATCTTCTCATATTTTATTTCCTCTTTGTATCTCTTCTTGCAGAAATAGCTATTCAAATTCATTGCCTGTTTTTAATCTGGTTTTCCTTTTACAGTTGAGATGTAAGAACTCTACATATTCTGAACATTAAACACTTAACAGTTACATGGTATACAAACATTTTTCCATCCTATACATCATATTTCCAACTTCTTCATATACCTTAATGCATCAGTTTTTAAGTCCAATTTATATATTTTCCCTTTATTTGTCATGTTTCCTTGAGTCTTATGTAAGAATAGGAGCTAATGAAGATGTATCGGTATGATTTTTCTCTGTTTTATGAGTTTAACACTTATGTTTAGGCAGTTGAGCCATTTGGATCTACTGTTGTTTAATGTTATGATGTACTGGTCCAAATCTATTTTTTGTCCATTTTCCCAGTACAATATGTGGGACAGAAAATTCTTTCTCCACTAAATAAACTTACTACTCTTGTCCAAAATCAGTTGGCCTGATAATCATGGATCCATTTCCAGACTTTCAATTCTGTTCTATTGCTCTATGAGTCTAATGTTAGACCAGTACCACACTGTTTTGATTATGCAGCTTTGCAGTTAAGTTTTGAGACTGCAAAGTGTGACTCTTCCAATTTTGTCCTTTTAAACATTGTGTTCGTTACTCAGATGTTCAAATTTATCTGTATGTGTTTTGGAAAAAAAATTTGTTATTATACACTGACTCTGTAAATAGCTTAGGGTAGAGCTGACATCTCAATAATACTCAATCTTCCTACTCATATATGTAAAGTCTTTTGCCAATTTCTCTTGATAGAATGCAAAGTGAGTCAAGTGCAAGCACTCAAAAGATCTCCAAAACTGGGATCTTGCCTACTGCACTGACATGCCTTTCATTTCTTTACTCCACAAAGAAAATCTAAGTAACAGTGGAGTAATTTCTACAATCAGTGTGAACCCAAATTAACAATATAACAAGATCTCAGAACAGCCACGTAAGCATTAAGAATTGTTAAAAACTCAGTTGTGAGGTTTTATGATTATATGATTCTATCACAAAAGTAAAGAAACACACGGACACAAACATAGTCTTACAAAAACACCCGTATTCACAGTAAAAGACTGAATCAGTACTCTTTATTTATCTATGAATATTGTATCACATTAGAACAAGGGGAAATGATTACCTACAACTTACATATCAAAGTATACCTCAAAAATAATTAATTTTATTTTTTGCACTTATACTTCTTGTCCGAATCAATATTCTATCCATCAAATCTCTTTCTAAACAACACAGATATGTAGGGAAGTGGTTGTGTCTTCGGGTTGTCTTCTTTGGCTAATACAGTGACAAATGTTGTATTACCATGAGGAATGGTTTACTGTACTGCAATAGTCTGCAAACTTTTATGCTGGTGGACATCTCTCAGGAAGAAAACAATTCTTTGAATAGACAGTTCTAAGTTGCATGTGTTTAAAAGTACATATTGATTACTCCCTGCTTATACCTCTATAATTAAAGTATAATTTCACTTTATGAAAAGTACTAATATTTTTATTTTGTAATAATGGTTCATCACATATACTGTAATAAAAACTACGGCTTTACAGTACATTAAAAAATTAAAACAGAAGACAAGAAGTAATGGATTTTTCTCCTCACTGTAAGCCGTAACTCTATTATTTAACACTTAAACACTGAATTGCTAGCTTTTTCTTTCTTGGTACTATCTCACTGAATCTACTTATGTTGCCTTCTTTTTATCAATAAAGTTTCTTTCTACTTCACATTTCACAAGGTTGCCTTCAGAATAGTTACAATATGACATGTCAGGGGAAGAAGGCAAGAGAGTACAAAAGGGGCAAGTAGTTTCCAGGAAAAGCAGAGGAGTATCTCCATGGTAGGTGGGCTGGAGGCTGGGGAGTGGTCAGAATTAGGTTTACAGGGCTGACAGAAAATAAGGTTTGTTCTTCAAAGATTTCCGTCATGGGAATTAGATAGCAAATTTAGTTCCTTCTCTAACTAAATGGCCAGGATTAGTCATCCTTTCCTACAGGGGAAAACAAAGTGATACAAAGGAATTGTTAGCACTTTCCAAAATGAGAAACTACAGAGTCCATAGTTAAATGATACCATCTCCCATCCCTAACACTAATAAAATATGAGCACTTCCTTTGTAATCTATTGTTTCTAAAGTAACAGATATTTCCACCTACATTATAATTTGTTCAAATACATGATGGGACAAAGTACAATTCAGAATGACATTATAACTGCAAGGTGCAAACATGCATACACCAAGAAAGTGTGAGCTGCAATATTTGAGCACACACAGTGATCAAAGCTTGGGGAAGTGATATCACAGAGGGCGAATCAACAATGTGCTCTGGTGGCTTTGATTTTTATTTTTTTTTGAACTTACATCACTGAGCCTTTCACGGGAGCTGCTCCGATGGAAACCCTTGGATTCTGCACTGGCACTTTCGCTGTCACTGTCCCTGCAGCTGTTCTGCCCTGGCTTGAGCTAAAAGAAAAAGAACAAAATAAAAAAAAGTCAGTGGTCACTTCAGACAAATGTTTCTTAGCTCCTGATTTGTGACCCTTGTCAGTCGTGTACAACTTGAGGGCCTGAACTTTAACATTCTCAGTTTCTGAACAGTGTGAGGCAAGCTGCCATAGGAAAAAACATGGAGAGTATGATAAGCAATAAAACCTACCACAAAATATCACATAGGGAAAAGAACCAACACCTTAAACAATTCAAATGCCTATCCAAACCCCATGATTCAGAAAGTATATTTTCCTCAGATTTTTTTTCTGTACCATTGTGATTGTTTTCCAACACAAAGACCAAAAAGATTGCAGATTTATTTAGTAAGATACCCCACTTTATTTCTTCTGCTCTCTTCTCAAACAAACAAATTAGGGCAAAAACAAAGGCTGTCTTCTAGGAGAAAATGATAAGACATTGTGATGTTATCCCTCAATCTTTGCAGAGATATTTAATGATTGCATGTTCAGACAACATTCTGAAAATCAATTTCAGGATGTTTAAAAGGTACCAATTAATACCTACAGCTCAAGTAAATTAAATAAGTACTTCCTCAACAGATACACATCAGTGACACAGTGGCTGGGTTGGTCCCAAGCACCAGAGAGAGGATGCTAAGTCAAAAGAAATGGGATGGGAAGGGCAGGGGAGATATAGAAGAAAAATCTCTGACATTATATTCTAGTGTTTTCTACACATTTACTACTCAGCTGTTTCTCAATTTCATGATATTCTACAGATTTATCCAGCTCTGGTTTTTCCTTTAAAAACCGACAGACAGAATCTAAAAATCATCATTCTATATGAGACTATAAAATCAAGTATATATGGACTACATTTTCAGACATGAAATCACGTAATGTCTATTGTCTGTTTATCATGCTGTCATTTTGGAAAGACAGTCAAAAGTAACAAAACCAGGAAATTCATACTAAAAGTAAACCAAAAACTAGCCAGTTAACATTCAAAGAAATAATTTCTGAAGCCTCACATTCAAAGTAGATCGAGCTTATATAGCTGAGAGGAAAATGGAGGAGACACTACCAAGGTGATAAAGATAAGCAGAAATAGGCACAGCAGCACAATAGGAAAAGATGAGGAGTCTCATTTGGAAACAGGCTCCCCTTTTGTGAGAAAATAGGCAGAAACAGAGAAGGGTACATAATGAGAACACAGAGAACCTCTAAATACAATCTGAATTTCAGGCAAGAGGGAATTCAAACAGAATTGCATGCAGAACATGCAACAGATAGCAAATTTTTGCCTACAAGTTTTCAAGAGACTCTAAAGCCAAAGGGGAAAAGGGAGCCAAGTATGAATTCTCATTTCTTGTATATTCACATTAATGTTTCTTTAATGATTGCAGTTCACCATATCCATAAATTTTCCAAATCCCAGAATAAAGCATCCTTTTTTGCACTGTATGTCTCTATAAGTCTTTAATATCACTTTCCTCTAAAATCCCTTCTTCCAGGAAATCTTCTATAATGAAGCTCAGAAAATTATGCTAATTTTCCTATCTGTCCCCCTCAGCCCTTAAGAACTTAGGCATCTCCTAAGTTGATGTTAAAATTACTCATTGCTAAGCTAATACAAGTTGTATGAGCCTTTTTAATTAGTATGGAATAAAAGATCAGAATATTGTCTTTTTAAATTTTAACCTTTATACTTAAAGAGAAGATTTTACCTGCAATGAATATCACCTTGTTTCTATTTAAATATTTCAAGTCCATTCCTGCCTTGTTTTTTGATATCAGATTTTCTCTATCCAGAAATTTTACCATCATATTTTCTGTATATCTGAAATCAAGATGTTTCTTAAAGCTTAGACCTTATTTCTTCCATTATGACAAATGAAGGGTTCTTTCTATATTTTTAAAGATATGCCTTTGAAGTTTAGTTAGCATGTTATTCTTCCTTAAATGTCTTTGATAATTATGATACAGTTTTAAGTTCAAAAAGGCTTTTATCTAAATAGAGCTATTCTGATAATAAAGTCTGCATGTAGAATGGAACCTCTAATTCATAAAACCTCAAAACTCATACTTAACTTTGAACTGCATTGGTTCTAAGTTAAGTATGGGTGGATAGAACTACCTCCACTACGTAGGTGAAGAAACAAATTAATGTGCTTAAAGGCAGGCAAAGGTCCAGGACTATCCATCTCTCTAGTGTCCATCATTCTCTATAATTCTTGGAGCCCATTTGGATGTTTACATTAACATGGAAATAAAGATTTTGCAGTACATCAGTATTCTGTACAAACATGTGATACCTAAAACAAAGAAAGGACTCTTGCTAAGAAGTAGCTGATATTATAGAGATGTTAACCAAAATTTAGTTTCCCAGTTTAGATGAGAAATACATATGCAGTGGGAAAGTAAGAGTGTGAGAGCATCAAGGCTTTACCTAATAATACCCAAGCGCTTTAACAAACCTGGACAGTGCATCTGGTCCGTTTCAACGACTCTTCATGGAAGGAAAATGATACTGTTAACAAGGCCCAAAAACAGACTTCTATGGCCCTGAAAAAAATTATCTAAGTGTTGATCTGGGTTAAGGGTAAAACCCTAAAATGACTCAAAAGAAAGCAGCCTGCTAGTATTTCCAGTCCCCTGCCAGCAAATGCACTTAAGTGAATTCTCTCTAGAGAGCTTTGCAGAAAATCCATCCTTACACAACCCTTTTCTCCTTCAAAGCCAGGCTCAACTTTGAAGGAAATTTAGGATTTTAAGCTGTCAGACAGCTCAATATTTCAAAGACATGGACTGATTATAGTAAGTACTAAAGCTAAATCACAAGATTTCAAGCAAGACATGTTCATTCTTAATCCTATGAGTATTATTTTCAAACTGGCATTTTCAGCCACATTCAATGGATCATGTGGGGTATCATAATAAAATCACAAAACTAAAACAATTTTTAGTTCTTCACCTGAATGCCCCAGAAAACCCACAATCAAGAGACACTGCAAAGGTCAGGTATTGGCTTAAACATTTAAGATCTAAGAAAAATCAATTGTGTTTAATGATTATTTGAGCACCCAAGATAGCTATAGTAGGAATGCTATCGCTATAATAGATACACTGACATTTCTTATTGTTACTCTTAGTAGTTCAGGACTTTACTTAAAAAAATACTGCAACCCATTTTTTAATTTGTCCCCTTTAGAATATTATATAGAGAAAACACCAAAATTAGCACAAAAGGGAATGAAAGAAAGTATCTGACATGAGAGGTACAAAATCTATCCGTAAGAAATTGCTTTTATGAAATGTAAGGAGTGTGCCTGTTTTCATTAGATTTCATTGTCAACAATATATCCTCCAAATACTGACACTGTAATCTCATTACAGCATTAACTATCACTAGTGGTTAATTAATAAAATAATGATCAATGGTTTTATCACTGCTAATGAACATGTAACAAAGTCCCATCACACTGGACCACAAGAAGGAGGAACACTTCTTTACATATCTCTGTCATTTGTGGGCCACATTATGCCATTCTTTTCAGTTTAGATATGGAAAATTCAGAAAGACGCTAGGTGCCATTAACATATCAAATAAAATTTACAGAAGAATAAATTATGTTGAGATACTATGTCCACAACTTGAGAGGAATGATGAGAATTATGCAATCCACTACAAGAATGTGTCCAAAAGTAATCTCCATCCAGGCTTTTGGTTCTTCAAAGTAGAATATATCCTATTTCAGAATTCTGAGGTTCCCTGTAGGGACCTAAATACACTCTACAACACCCTGAAATATACCAATGAGCTCTAAACTTCCTTGTGCACATTAATTTTACAAATTACTGCATCTAGCTTTCATATAGGCATATAATATTTTCATCACATCCAGCTTTCCAAATTTCCTTCTTGTTTAATAGTCTCCCATCTATTTTCATGGCATTATTTTCTTTCTTTTAAGATTTCACATGTTAAAGAAAATATGATACTTGCCTGAGTCTGACTTATTTTGCTTAACATGATGACCCATTTTCCTGCAAGTGACCTAATTTTGTTCTTTTTTATGGGTATTAGTCATATATACAGAGTTCACCAAAAATGTATACACTCTTGAAGAAAGGAAAAAAGTATGATTTTTTTTTCAACTACATGGCTAGCCCTTAGAGAAGAAATTGAAAATGTGCATGTAGCAATATCAGTGACGAAATTTACCCAAGCAGCAGTCTGCTGTACTAATAAATGTCTGGAACCTAATGATCACCAATTTGAGCATCTCTTGTAATTACAGAGGCCCATAGTAACTTGTATTTGTATCATGCTGCCTCAGTAAATTTAGCATAAAATATTTATAGAAGTTTTTTTTTCCTGTAGTACATATACATTGTCTTTCCGTCTACACACACAAACACACACACACACACACACACACACACACACACACACACACACACATATCATTACATCACATTTTCTTTATCTACTCATCTGTTGATGAGCCCTTAGGCTTTGGTTGCATATCTTAGCAATTGGTAATTGTACCAAAATAAAGAAGGGTACACAGACCCCCATAAAACATGCTGACTTTTATTCTTTCAGATATATATGAAATAGTGGTATAACACAGTCATATTTTTGTTTCCTGAGGAATGTCCATATTGATTTTCACATAGTGAGTACTAACCTACATTTCCACCAACAGTGTACAATGTACACTGCAGTGTACAATGCAGTGTACTTCCCTTCATGTACCTGCATTCTTGTCAGTGATGGCTGTTTTTTATATTATTGATGACACTCATTCTAACTGGGATGAGATGGAATTGCTACGTAGTTTTAATTGGCATTTCCCTGTTTGGTCTTTGAAAAGTCATTTATCTGTATTAATGATGTTTCCAAATAAACAATTAAAATGGTAAAATAATTGAGCTATCAGCTTGGGAAATGGAAAATACTGAAATGCTCCCATTTGCTAACCACATATGTAGTGGTACTTTGCTACT